GAACAGATATGTGCACACCCATGTTCATCACACCACTGTTTACAATAGCAAAAAGATAGAAACAATCTAGGTGCCCATCAACAGAAGAATGGATAACCAAACTATGGTACATACACACAATGGAATGCTATGCAACTCTGAAGAATAACGCAGAATCTGCAAAACACCACATAACATGGATGAACTTGGAGGACATTATGCTGAGTGAAATAAGTCAATCACAAAAGGACAAATATTTTATCAGTGTATTATTGTAAAAAGTCAAGGAAAGGTTTATATATGTGTTCTGGTTACCTAGTGCCACTCTGACAGGAATCATACCACAAATGGGATGGCCTTAACAAACAGGAGTTTATTCTTACAATATGAAGGCTTTAAGTTCAAGTTCAAAGTGCCAGGCTCTAGGGGCATTTCTTCACTCAGACAGCAGCTGGCTGCTGAGGTTGGGAAGCCCCAAGGTTGACAAGTCAAAAGGCACAGTCCCTATGTTACCAATACACACAGCAGGCCACTAACTTAAGTCCATTTTAAGTCCCAAGATCGGCAGAGCAGAGCAGGCTGCTGAGCAACCACAACGGCTACATGCAGGGTCCAAGCTTGCCAAAGGCTAGAGACCATTCTCAAAGCTTCTCCTTATATACAGGAAGCAGACCACACACCCAAAGGCAGCTACCCGGCTGCTTGTGGTAGATCCCACCATGGAGCTGATTGCCAGTCTCCTCATGGGGATTAACTACCATCAGCTGCCTAGCCACTCAACCAGGCCCAGCCAAGTTGACACACAAACCAAATTACCACAATACGGAAGGAAACTTTCTTTGTTGGTTACCAGGGGTGGGAGGGGATGGACTGGAACAATGCAAATAAATAAATAAATAAATAGCTCCTTTGTGGTGTAGTAAATTACTTAGTGTGGCTTTTCTACCCATAAGTCTTTGTAAACTTCAAGGTGGGATTTGCTATGAGCAACTGAGGAGCTCCTGACTGCTGAAGTCGCCCACCTGGAGTATTTCTGTTGGGAGTGGCACAAAACAATGTTCTGGGAGGTTCCCACTCTCTCTCAGGTGCTTAGAGTTCTGATGCTATGATTGGCTAGTTTGACCACTCTGCCGGGCTCAACAGGAGGCCTCCTAGAGGCAGAACTGTCTCTGTGACTGCTGGTTGAGGAAGATGTGCTGCTGAAAGAGACACACGCTGCTGAAAGAGACACGTGCTGCTGGGAAAGAAACGCAAGAGACACGCATTGCTGAGTAAGACACCGAGGGACATGCTGCTGGG